TATGAGTGTTATCAAATCATACATATTAAAATGTAGCCTTATCCCAAACCTCTAAAACACTTTATAATTCTGCCTTTTAAATTGCTTGGTGACCAGCAGTTTAATCTGATTTAACTCCTTGACAATCACTGAGTGTCCTTAGAAATCCTGTGCATATTCTCACTCATGTGGTTTTCAAGACTTTGAAACAATTAAGCTGGAATGCATTTATTTTGTCTTGTGGATATTTAATTATTTTTGTTCTTTTCATAGTGTGCAACCAGTATTTCCTTCTGGTTTACTATGAACATTCTCATTGTTTATAAGTCTTCAACACACTGCTTTTAATTGTCTGAAGGGGAAAATAGCCGTGATCCACAGAGCTCAAGACTGACAGGGAAGCATGGGGGACCGAGGGATTCCAGGAACCTGGCTATTTTGTTGCCATGACTAAAGTTGGATCTCTTCAAGTAGGAAGCCATGTACCATTTCAGAATATATGGCCTCTACTAAGTATATTCTTCTTTGAAGACTAGCAAGAGCTTCAGGATGGCTCACCAGTCCCAGATGCAGCAGCAGCAAACAGCACCATCCAGACATCTCTCCTTCAGAGCATCATTTATTCTCAAGATGGAGACCAGTTGCCTAGATGGCCACTCAGTAAACCCAGCAACCATGGTGCCACTCTACCACAGCCTTGGTGACCTAGTACTCAAGAGAACAGACACGTAAGATCACTAGGTGCCATCACTGGGCTGGGTATCTCCATATTTAGCATGGTCTCTGATTTATATAAATCCTACCTTCATTCGTTTGACTACACTTCCCCCAAACTGTAGCAGAGAGAAATTAACAAGTCAATCACTTGGGAAGGGGGTATAAGGTTTTTAAAGGATTGGAAATTAGGAGGAGAAAAAAGTACGTCCTGAATCCTCTAAGAGACTCAAATGTCAGAATCACCTAGGATGTTTCCAAACAGGTGAAACCAAGTCAGACAGGTATGAGTCAAGTATGACAAGGAACTTGAGAAGTCCTACCTTCTTGGCACCCTGACAAAATGACAACTTCTGTTTGTTTAAGGAGTGATGTGGCTTGATCTGTTAGACATCAAACACTGACAAATTGTCCCACTCAAAAAGCTTCTTAGATGTGGCCAATGAAAAGTACAGAAAGGCCTGACCTGCCATTCCCACTGTTAGTCACTTCTGAAGAACAGGCTGGGCCCGTCTGAATACGGTGCTCTGACTAAGCCTCACGCACTTCTCATCCTTCGGGTGGGTGAGGAACAATGGAGACACAGGTTGCCCACTGTATTCCCATTCTTCAGACTGGCTAAACACACACACACACACACACACACACACACACACACACACACACCCATCCACAGGTTTCCAACACAGGCTTACCAAAAGACCATGGGACCCCATATTCTTCTCACATCCTTGACCAAAGCCCCAGGAAAAGCATTTCTTCAGCCCACCCTGCTCCCCACTCAGCCGGGTAAACCTCCTACTGCACTCACTATCAAATCTAAGAAGCACCTCCCTGGTACTTCAGCAGTTTCTCTACTTACTTTTGATTTTATGAGTTGCTTTGAGCCTCCTGGACCCTCTCACCTACTTCCTTTCCCTCTCTTTAGCACACTGTCTTAGTTTGTTTCTCCATTGCTGTGACAAAACATTCTGACCAATACCAACTTGGGGAGGAAAGGGTTTATTTAGCTTACAACTCCCAAGTTGCAGTTCATCAGGGAGCCCAAGGTAGGAACTCAGGGCAGGAACCTGGAGGCAGGAGCTGGAACACAGGCCATGAACACCATTTACTGGCTTGCTCCCCTGGCCCCTGCTCAGCTTGCTCTCTTATCCAACACAGGCCCACCTGCCCAGGAGCGGCACTACCCACAGTGGGCTGGGCCCTCCCACATCACTCAACAATCAAGAAAACGCCCCACAGACATGGCCACAGGCCAGTCCAATGGAGGCAATTCCCCAATTAAGGCTCCCTCAACCCAGGTGTGTTAAGTTGACACTAAAGCTATCTAGCACACACACTCAACTCTTCCTGGTGACCACAAGACTTGATACCAGTGTTGGCCTCATCTAGGAGCCTTGTCAAGAGGGAAATAGCCACTCCCATGGGTCTCTGTTGTAGGAGTGACAGTGAAAAAGGACACCACCATGTTACAACTTACATGGTCTGCTTTTCAAAAGTGGGTCTGCGATTAGATATCTTTTATCACTTATCAGAAACATTCTTAAAATTCATCTTGTTTTCATATTATGAGCATTTTGTGTGCATGTATGTAAGTACACCATGTGCATGCAATGCCCAGGAAGGTCAGAAAAGGATGCTGGATCCCCTGGAACTGGAGTTAGGAATGGTTATTAGCTGTCACGTGGGTGTTGAGGACCAAACCTAGGTCTTCTGCAAGAGCTAGTGCTCTCAACCACTGAGCCATCTTTCCAGCTCCCAGAAATATTTTTACTTTAATTTCAGCACTTGGGAGGCAGATGGAGTTCTGTGATCAAGTCCAGTCTGGCCTACACAGTGAGTTCCAGGCCAGCCAGGGCTATAAAGTAAGATGTCTCAAAAAAATAAAACAAAAAACAACACAACACAGAAATATTTTAAAAATAAAAAACAAGACCCATGAGGTTCAGTTGCCTTGATAGGGCAATTTGGGTTTCATCAGGTCCTCCTGTTCCTCTTTCCCAGTCAGCACATAATGTTTCAACACCCTAGCTTCCTCCCACCCCTTACCAAGAGTGTTGACAAGGATGGTAGAGTAACCAGGATGCAGAGAGATGGCTCCCCCTGTTGAAACACAGAAGCTGGGCCTAGCAGATAAAGGGAAGTGACTCTGTCATACCAAACAAGGCCACAGGTGTGTGTACCTGAAATACTAGTCTCATTGGGCAACTGCTGCTATAATTCTGCCATCGGAGAAAAGCAGGCAGGACAAGACAAAACGCCAAGCCAAATCAGATCTGCCCATACAGAGCTCAAACACAGCACTAAACAGACTCTTATTAAACTAACCCCTGATGAGTCCAACCAGGAACCAACCTGGGAACATAGCAGACTGAAGGGGCTGAATGGTCTCCACAAGTGTCAGCAACCAGCAAGGGCTGACTTCTGCCCCGGGAATGGGATTGCTTCTCTTAAGAATTTGAAAAGAACCAGGAACAGCCTATTGAAATACATATCACACTTGTGGGAATGCAGGCCTATGATCCTAGTACCCAGGAAGCTGATGCAGGATTGTGAAAGTTCAAGGCCAGCCTGGATATTTAGTGAGTCCTCGTCCAAATTGGAAAACAAATTTACATCTATCCTCTCCTCAGTAATCTCTTTGCTAGTACTCCAGATGTTCCAACTCTAGAAGCAGCTGTGCCAGCGGGCTGGACCCACCAGACACTTCTGAGTTTCTAGAGAGATGCACGTCTTCTGCTGCTTGTAACAATCTCCTTGTCCTCTTCCTGCCGCTTGATACCGATCAACTACCATTTCCAGAGTTTGTAACTAAGGACAGGAGGCCCCATTAGAGAAAATTTGACAGGTCCAAAGCAACTTGGCCACTTAGTTCTGTATGGGCATATCTGATTTAAAATAGAGCCTGAAGTGTATGGCTGGCAAATGCTGAGATGACTAATTCACTCATTAAGCTAGACAGTGCTGTGACCAGATAACCTTAACGCTGTGCAGGCAGGACCACTGTACTACAAACTATTAAGTACTGTTTTCTCCAACTGGCATACCAAGAGGAAGTCAGATTCAGTTTAAATGTCAAGGATTTGATGCAACCTTGCTGGCTTGAAGATAGAGGCACTAAGTGACAGGAATGCTGACAGTGTCCATATGTGACAGCTGTTGGCAGCAGATAGCGAACAAGGAGATGGGGACTTCAGTAGCTCATCCCCAAATCTGCCAACATGAATGAGCTGGAAGCACTTTTTTTCCAGAGCCTTCTAATGAAAGCCCAGAGGAGCTGACAGTTTGATAACCACCTTATGATGCCATGCAGAAAGTTCACCTCACCTGCCTCACTTCTTACTCTGAAATGATGAGTATCGTTTTTTTAACTATGACTGCTTGTTATGCACCAACAGAACATCAATCCAATTTGGAAAGCTCCCAGTAGAGTGCCTCAGTTCAGAATGACCTTCAAGGTTAGCTCATCAATTCCGTATCTTCATAGGCTTGTACAGTGACCAGCACAGTGCTGCTCTGGCCTCTTCCAGTTAAAAAGGACGAGTGGGGCAAAGACCATCCCTGACTTCAAAGGCCCACCCCGGGGGAGAACACCATTGGCTTCTTATCCTGTACACATCACAAATGTAGAATCTATTGATTGGCAGAGGAACTCTGCCATAGTCCTGGGTATTCCTGCACATTTTTGTTGGTGTTTGACTAAGCCCCCTCTCAGAACTGTGCTTGCAGTAAGCAGTCTTGAAGGACAAAGTAACATTTCTAATGGAATTAAGAACAGGCTTGCTAGGAAAGAGGTGAGGTTCTTGGCAACTGTGATTCCTTGTCTGTGATGCATGCAAATTCACTGCAGGACGTGGAGGGTGGGGGCAAGAGAAATCAGTTTATTTATGATGTTCATGCTGCCTGCCAGGCTAGAAGTTCTGTCTCTGGCCCAAGACTTTCATGCCTTCTGCTAGCATCCATGAAATGGGAATCACTGAACTTATTAATATTAGCTTACAAACAGGTAAAAATCTCAGATCTTGTTACACTTTTAAATCAGGAGATCTAGCCGGGCGTGGTGGCGCACGCATTTAATCCCAGCACTCTGGAGGCAGAGGCAGGCGGATCTCTGTGAGTTCAAGGCCAGCCTGGTCTACATAGTGAGCCAGGACAGCTGGGGCTACAGGGAGACCCTGTCTCAAAAAGACCAAAAAATAAATAAATAAATAAATTCAGGAGATCTAATGTTTTTACATTATAAACAAAGGAACAAATACCCTTTTTAATTTTTTTCCACATGGAGAGAATAATTTATACCACTGTGCTATTATAAGAATTTTTATCAAAGAAAATTTATGACATACCTAGAATACAGAAAGTATCTAAACTGCCCTCCTCACCCCAACCACCAGTTCCTCAAATACAATTAACGAGATGAACAGCAGTATGTGTCCATGACAACAACCCATTCATAAGATAAGGAACAGTCTAAGATCCTTAGCCTCTGACATCCACACAACATGATGCATAAAGGGCTTCCATAGACACTGTCACATTCATCTCTGAGACCAGTCTGAGGATGCAGAAAGTGCTGCTGGGATACTGTTTCAGTAGCTCAACCAAGTCCTGAGGGCTTTTTCTCTAGGTGAGCCAGGGAACACATGCCTGGACCTTTGAGGAATGTTACTACCACTGGAGAAACAGCTGGAGCCACATGGTGGAGACATCTTTTATTTGCATATTGATATTTTTAGTGGAAAATTAAGAAAGTTCTTAATATTAAGGAGTGATCCTATCCTGGGTGAACACATGTGGACTTGGTCCCTTTGGTCCTTGACAGCTTCTACTTCATTATAGACAATCTCATCTTGTGATAACATCACTTGAGGGTCTTGCTGAGGTTGGAGAAGCCAATGCCAACGCAGGTCATCAGTACTTTATCTCCACCCTTGAGTTCTTCAACACATGGCTTGGTTTCTATTTTAAACATAATCTGGAAAAAGCTCTTCAAATGTCGCAAAAATTCTATCCTAAAAGAAAATAAAAAGAATTTCTTAAAAAAAATAAATCTCAGCAGTAATCAGTTGTCAATATTTCTTCAGATAAGACTGGGGTCTGCTGACCATTTCCCTAGTTCTATGCTGGGTTTTGTCTGCTTGAGTTTGCATGGGTCTTGTGCATGCTGACACCATGCTGTAGGTTCATATGAGCAAGGTCCCAGGAGCTTGTAGGACTTTATTTCCACATGGTCATGCACCTCCTCCTTGGCTCTTACAACCTTTACACCCCCTTTTCCACAATGGTCCCTGAGTCCTGGGTGGGTGAAGTTTAATATAGGAGTCTTGTCCAAGGACCAGCATTCTGCAGACTCTTAATCTCTATGCTTAGACCTCAGTAGATGAACTTGCACTGAGGAATGTCTGAGGACACTGACTTAACACAAGTGGCCTTAACACAAATGACAGAATGTATGAATTCTGGGGGGGAGGGGGGTGTCTGTGGGAGGGCAGCAGTGAGAAGGGTTACAAAGATGATTAAGATTGAGATGTTCTGTATGAAATACACAGAAATTCAATAAAAAAAATTTTTTTTTAAATCTCTCCCCATTACCCACTTAAATCCCAAGATTTTCATTTCTGAGGCCAAGACAACTGAAAATTTTAAGTTTCCAGTCAAAATAAATAGTATTTATTTATAACCTGCCAGTTTTCCAAAGGGAATCAGGCAGCTTGCAGAGAGAGAGATACACACAATACAGCGAGGTAAATTCAGCTGAAACAAAGGCTAGAGGTTAGTACACTTGTTAAGAGAACAGAAACATGAGACAATTTTCAGTGGACTACTAAAAGAGAGAAACATTTACCTCCATGATGATTCACAGCATCATGGGGTAAAAAAGAGGCAGAGTAGCCATTTCTGACCCTGATAAGTTCCTCCATTCCCCAGCAATTGCCTTCCACTTACTCAACAAATATTTACTGAATGTCTACTATAGCAGGCAATATTATTGTTAGGGATAAGGCCAGCCCGGTCTACATAGTGAATTCCAGGCCAGCTGAGGCTATAGGGAGACCCTGTCTCAAAAAGACAAAAGAAAAAAAAAAGAATGCTTCCCCATGAAAACTTCAATGTGTGACAGAAACATGACAAATAAGCTCAGTATTCTTTAAAAAACAAAAGTTGAAAATTTAAATAAATTAACAAAGAAAAGAAAGGGAAGAGAGGCTGGGGATACGGCTTAGTGGAAGAGTGTCTGCCTAACACAGAGGGGATGAGCTATGGGTTTGACAGTATTTGTGCACAACTAGTAGGTTGGAGACAACACTAAATGATGCCAGGGAAAAGCTCACAAAAAACATGGCAAAAAAAATAATAATAATAAATCATGGGGCTGTTTCTTACAATTTCCTGTAACAGAAAGAATGGCATTCACCCCAAGAGCTCCCTGGAAACAGCAATTCTTTCAGTGGGCTGCAGTGCAGCCACACAGGCTTCAAACACTGGCCCTAGCAAGCTCAAGCATGATCCAGACTAATCTGAGGGTTCCCCTAGAGTGTGCACTAAGCACATGGGTTCCATAGGACTGGAAGAAGAACCCATGTGGAAAAATCCAGAATCACAGGGAACATGCAAAGGTACCCTCTCTTCTCCCATGCCCCATGCCTCCAGAGTTGAAATTATAAAAGCTGTATAAGACAACAGGAGTGAATCCTCATTTGGCTGATGAACAGCTTCTTAAATATAACACCAAAACTATAGCAGTAAAAGAAAAAAACCATATAAAGACAGCCCCTCAAAGATGAAGAACAAGTAACCAATAAGCACACAAGATGCTCAGCATCACTTGTTGCTAGGGAAATGAAAATCAAAACCACTGCAAGAAGCTATTTCATACTCAACTGGATGGTCGTATGAAAAAAGCCAAGTAATAACAAGTGTGGTGAGGAGGCAGCAAAATTAGATGCATCTCACACTGCTAGGATGTAAAGTGGTACAGCTACTACTGAAAACAATCAGTTCCTCAAAATGCTAAACAAGGAGCTAAGATAAAACAGAGTAATTTCACTCCTAGATAAATGCCCAAGAGAAATAAAAACATACACCCCCACAAAAGCTTCTACACAAATGTTCCTAACAACATTATTCACAGCAGTCAAAAAGTAAAAACTGCCAGCCATGGTAGCAGATGCCTTTAATCCCAACACTTGGGAAGCAGATGCAGGAGGTTATCTGTGAGTTTGAGGCCAGTCTGGTCTATGTACCGAGTTCCAGGCCAGCCAAACCTACCTAGTGAGACCTTGTCTCAAAAAGAGAACAGAAAGTAGAAACAACCCAAAAGTCCATTCGCTGATGAGAGGATAAATGTGTCATACCCATTCGGTGGGACGCTGCTCAGGTCTCTAAAGCCCTGACATGTGCTACAACATAGTTTGAAAACAGCATGCTAAGTGAAAGAAGCTGGTCACAAAGGACCATCTATTATATGACTCAACATCTACGAAATGGTCACAATAGGAAATCTATTACCAAGGCAGTGAGCAGAGTGGTGGCTGCCTGGGGCTGCGAGAGCGGGAGGAATGGGGAGCAACCACAAATGGGCACAGGGTTTCTTTCCGGGGCTATAGCGCGCAATGGGCGCTCCAGCGTGGTGTGCGCGGGCACACCTGGAGAGTCGCGCAGGTCCTGGCCACAGGCGTCTGCTTCTCTGGTCGTGCAGGCCCTCCCGCCATGCCCCGGCTCCGCGTCTCCTGGGAGCGGCGGCAGGCACGGTCCGACGCCACTTTGGTGCTGAAGGTGCCTCTGCTGCTGGAGCGTTGTCCAGCCGTGTCTCCGCCCTGATTTCACCCGTGTACTTTCCTCAATATGCGAGTTCCACCGGCCGCTAGAACACGTGGGAAAGTACAGGCGGCTGAAGCTGGATCCGTGAGTCGGTGATGGAGGAATGCTGCCTCCGGAGAGGCTGTATCAGTAGTAAGACGTGAGACTCTACTTAGTCCGTGTTACAGCTTTATTAAATGTTCAGCTCCTAGTGATCCAGCTCTCTATCATTGAGAGACGACTGGGATATTTATACCATGGGGGTAGTGGTAAAAGCTTTGGCTGATAGATACATTCTATTTGCATATGGAAGTGGGTTTCTGCCATGCTAGGCACTCTGCTATGAAAGGAGTCCCAGCACATGGTTCCGAGCTCGTGAGCTATCCGGATATAAAGAGACTTCTACTTTACATAACAGAGGCCCCCAACACGGGGCAATAAAGTGTTCTAAAATTAGATTGTGGTTGTGGTTATACAACTCTATGAATATACTAAAAAGTACTAAATATATACTGTGAATGAGTAAACTGTATGGCCATGTAAACTGTATTTCAAGAAAGCTGTTTAAAATAAATACATGAGTTTTTTAAAATGTACTGATCATGGTTCCCACCTCTAGTCTGTATATACACGAAACTAGGTATAAAGTTACTACTGCAGTGAACGTGCCTCCTATGTGTCTGATTCAGTCAAAGGAGAGAAGAGATATCGAGAGCCTAAAGACAGCCTGGACAACTCACCCTTTCTCTCTGAGATGACCAGTATGTCATGAGAAAGGAATCACTATACTACCTGCGAACAGAGCTCAGGTGAGTGCACATGTTCAAGGAAGATCTACTTCTTTGCTTCCTCTCCCACCTAGGAACGTTATGACTTCATCTTCAAAATAGAAGCCCCCTTGTCAACTCTTCATGCAGTCTTCAGTACCAGTAACACCCATGGGTTTCCCCCTCCCTTCAGGGCTGCCATGGCATTCCGGGCTTATTGCGCTTAATAAAGTGCTTATAGAGTTGTCTCCACAACTGTGCTTGCCCCCTGGGTAAATTACATAAGCATCTGTGTACATGGAACTCTGTATCTGCTAGATACTATCAAAGGGCCTCAATGAGGAACCAAACAGAATTTAGGCATTAGAGGTAACAGAGAAAGGACTTCAACATCTTTGGTAAAAAGGGAAGTCAGTTCTCCTGCTGGCTTTTGGTACTAACCAAGTGAAATTTTCTTTTCTCCCACGCCCAACTTCTCCATCCATCCCACCACCTCCCTCAATTTGGCCTAGGGAAAAAAAAGAAAACACACACATGAAGCTCCTAGATAAACACGCCACATCTGTGAGCCAAGCTTCCAGCTGGCAGTGGCACAGAAAGCGCCAGGATCTCCCCACTCATCTGCATTCTAAGGAGAAGACAGCTTGTTCTCTCTGGCTGCTGCTGTGTTCTAACACAGGCCTGAGGCACGCTCCTCTCATGGGCCTCACCCAGCAATTTCACTGAATCATTCAACTGTACTCAAAAAGGCAGATGCTCTCCCCAGCTCACAACACTTCTCGGGGCCTCAGCTCACTTAGTGTCTTGGAGAAGGGCGAGAAGGATATACAGGCCTATGTATGTGCAGCTTTGGGGACTCCGTAGCTTTTGGAATTGTTAGCCACAGGGCTATTTCCTTTCCTGTATGCCCTCAGCAGACACTGCAGACCCACACTGTCACACAGCCAGCAAGGAGGCCTAGGGCACACTGAGAGCAACTCTGCCCTGCAACAGAAGACTGCGAGCGCAATGCAATGGGCAGATTTTCATATGAGCCATTGGAACAACTAGGGGTCTATGAGACTCCTGGGTAAAGGATTTTAATTCCCAACTTGGCAACTGTATCTGCAATGACATAATATTTTTTCAGGACATAGTGATTCACTGTCAAAATTTTTAAAGATTTAAAAAGAAATTAAACAAAACTTTTCTATGAAAGCCATCTGACAAGCAGGTTTCAGAGAATTCTGGAACACAGAGATCGTTTTCCCTGTGTATCTTTCCAAAGGTGGGTTGTTCCCACTGCCACTGTCAACAGGTAAGGACCTGTAATGGGTCAGCCTGCTTTGATGACACACATCACAGAAAATCCTGCAGGATTCTGTACCACTTGGATATGCGCCAGGGTTGGGGTTACCAATACCTTGGGTATAAGGAGTTGCTCTGGGGGTTGAGGGACAAGATCTAGGGGTAGGAAAAGATCTGCTTAACATCTCTGTAGTTATTACATGGTAGCTTTTAAGATCAGGGGTGCATCTGCGGCCAATAATAATATTTAAACTCTTCTCCAAGAACGAAGCAATGAAATTTGGTTAGCGGCACTAGGAAACAGAACCAGGCTGACTTCACTGTTGGAACATGGTGGGCGGGTCCTTAGCTCTATAGTGCTTTGACACTACTTAAATATAAGTAGGGGACACTGGGCAAGCTCCTAGAAAGCAACAAAAACAATAATCAGGTGACCTTCTCATGCGTACTTTGGATTGAGTGGGCCAAGAAGTTCTCATCAGCTGAGTTAAAGAATAGGGGCTCTTGCTCCCTAGTGTTTCCATAACTAATGGAAAGAAGTAATTATTAAAGTTATTAGGAAAATAAAAGATATCATGAACTACATTAAAATTTTCAACAGAAGGTAGGAAGGGATCATTTGGTAGAAGTTGAAAATGAGGACCCTTGAAAGTTGTAGCGAGGTATCCCAAATCAGGAAGCATGCTGAGGGGCCAGGAACAATGGGCAGACTCGGTTCTTCCATATTCTAGCAGTGGTAAGGGAAGGAGCAGCTCCAATGAAACTGCCTGCTTGCTTTGGGCGTGACCTTGGCAAGTGACATGACCTTTCTGTGTTTCTATCCCACCACCTATAAGATGGGACACACAACAGTGCCTGCTTTTTTACCCACATAGGGGTATGCGGAAAACTACATGAATTAAAGGAGTTAATTACCTCTGGGCTGAAGTTAATAGCTCTGTGATAGAGAACTTGCTTGACTAAATCACATAAGGCCCTGGGTTTGATCTCCAGTACCTAAAACCAATCAACAAAAATCCAACAAAAACAATGTCTGGCTCACACCATGTCTAGTAAATAAATATTACCTTATGCAATTCTTGGGAATAGTAAATAGGCATGTATGGTTTGTTTGGCAATGTGACTAAAAACCAGTCATAAATTTAAAAAGTAACAGATGCAGATTTAAAAACAGTTCAGCAGCCACTGCACAAGTGACATCAGGCCTGAAATAACCCTGTATAAGTTTACCTCCTCCTGATGCTCAAAGTGACATGATAGGAGAATGGACAGGGTTGGGGTAAGAGGGTTGTCCAGGAAGGATCTGAGTTCCTCAGACATGCTGCCATGAGCACTGAGCACCTGACCTGACCTGACCCAAGCTTCGGTGCATCTCCACAGTGCATGACTTCGGGATCATTCACCTTATAGACACAGGGGACAAAGGATCAGAGACACTCAACACAGCATCAGCCTCCCCCGATGGCTCAGTGGTGGAGACAGAACTGAAGTCCATATAGGTTGGACTCCAAGGCCTGTACACAGACAGAAAATGGAAATCTGGTAGTCTTGATCTCCTGTCATGATTTGAGCATGTTAATTAAGATGTTTGATGATATGTATTTCTCCTGCTGTTATTTATTCAACTTTTAAATCAAGTATAATTTCTCCCTAAACTACAAAATTAAATTTGGGGGCACTGGGCAGAAACACAGTTACCAACTATAAACTAAAAATATTTAGCAAATTTAAAAGAAATAGGTCCTCTTCATACCACTATTCTTCGGAAAAAAAAAAAACAAAACAATCTGTCTGGCCTCTCTCAAAAATTTCACACATATAGATGTACTTTCTCAAACAGTACAGAAAACCACCATCAGCAACCTCTGTGGCAATGGGGGACGGAGAGGGACAGAGTGACTCGTACTTTCCAGAAAGGGCTTGAAAGCAGCATTGAAAGAAAACCTTCACCCTGGTGCTCTGTAACCAAACATTTAAAAGCTATTTATATGAACCAAACACGTGCAAACTGCCAGAAGAAATACATTTACTTTTTTCATACCAAGGAGAATCTTGTTTCTGCTTTTCTTTAGAAATGTGAGGTTCTATAAAACACATTTCCATGACTTTAACTGCACGAGAAAATAAATGTGATACTTTTGTGGTCCCCAAAGGTCTGTGAATCTAACTGGAATAGTTGCCCCCACCCCCACATATACCATGATGATTCTATGTTGTCTGTCCTATTTTATCCTCAACTAGACTCAGAAGATGTCAATTATGCTCTTAAGATCCTGCCTTCATCCTTCATCTTTCTGAGATGCTGAAGCCTTCTACAATGACTAAGGGCAAAAAGGGTCCCAAACACAGATACAGAAAAGGGCTGGGGGTGGGAAGGTGCCCTTTCCCCACCCTGTGAGAAGCTCTCTGCATAAAGCCCTGGGGGAAGGGGTATGCATCTGAGCTCCTGGCCATAATCTTTTAAATCTGCCCCATTCTCTTAAAGTTCCTTTCAGGTCAGACTACCATTTTCCCAGGAGCTGCAGTAATTTCAGATTTCTGGAAGAAGACAAGAAACCTAAAATTAATATTTGGTTAAGGGCACACTGGGGAGGGCAGAGAAACCTTTAAAAATACTCAGTCACATCTTGGTCATCTCCAGCAAGGCTGCAGACTCTAAAAGAATATACAAGGCTGGGAGCCAAATGGAAAAATTCTCCAAAAGCAATTAAAACAAAACACAAAAACATATATTACACGTTCATACAATGTTCAGAAAACCCAGGCCCTGGACCACACACATTGAGACAGTGGCTGTTGCAGTGGGAGCCTGAGGCCTCTGCTGCCCTGGAGCAGAAGCTGGAAATAGAAGCATTGGTGGGCTAAGGTGCTCACACAGCCACTGGTCACTGCCAGCAGGCTGATGAAAGGTGAATCTCTGCACTTAGGATACCATGCTTCCACCCACCCCTCTCTGAAGGCTCCAGCGCTGGTCTGCTTAAGCAATGCTGATGTTAGCCCTCAGGATTACTCAACTCCTGACCAGTGAAATACTTTACACACATTATCAGAAGATAGTGTTACTCACTAGGGTCCTGCTTATCAGTCTTCCCCTGCTGTCAACAGAATGTATTGTCTTTCATTCCAAAAAAATCTCCCACTGCCAACTTTAAAAATTAAAATAAAACCTCCAAAAGAATCCCCTCCAAGTTCCTGGTTCCCACAGCAGCAAAGCCAGGGCTCATAGCTGCACTCACTGCCCTGGCATTCTTGGCCCCTCTCTCAATGTGATGGCACCACCATTCTTCAGTTATCACAGTACTGTACCTTTCAGATATACAGCATCGGTACCATGATAACCGAAAAAGGACAGTTCAGTCTCATGTATCTATCTGAGTACTTCTTCCCTCCCAACTTACCACCCACAGGTGGCCCTACAGCCATCTTTAAGTATATAAGCACATGTAAACACACACACACACACACACACACACACACACACACCCCTGCACAGGCTGGTTTGAGCATGCTCTTTTACTTCTGATGGGAAATGCTTCTTTGGCGTGCTCTTGGTAATCCAGCTCTTCTGACCAGTTACTCTTTTTGGAGAATCCTTGCTCTTCTCCATCAGCAGTCAATCTCTGCTAATATTAAGTGCCCAGGAACACCTCTACAACTTTCCAACTGGTCTAGTAATATTCCTATGAATTTTCCTTTCTTCATCTGTTTCAGCCAACTAATAGCTACCATCTTGGACAAATAACCCACAGTAAATGAGATTTTTTAAGCTCAAGCTATATAAACCAGAGGTTTAGTTCCAGAATAGAAACATCTAAAATAGAGACACAAGAACTGCCCAGTATATACGATGCAGCTTAGATGAGACGAGAATAGCCATGATGGAAAGGAGGCGAAAACCTATGTGTGTAAAAATAAATACCAGATTAACAGTGGCAACCGCTACCTACTTAAAGACCAATACAAGCAGGTGTGTCGCAGTAGTCACAGACTATGCACAGCACATATTTATCACTGTGTACTAGAAAACTAAACAGAATGAGGTTGAAAGAAAACAGCTTACGTGTATGGGGAGAGTGGTCCCAGCAGGACTTTGGAAACATCCTGCTGTCCAAGGGTCATGAGCAGCAGAGCTAGACTTTGGTTGGTTGAGTCCACACATCCACCCTGTAAACACAAACACTTTAATGATTAGTCATAGTACAAACCAGAAAACGGGAAACCAATGCAAGTGAGAGCATGGGGGAACCCAGAAACACTCAGAATACCAGAACCCACAGAACAGTAGACTACAAAGTTCAAGCAATAAAATGGAACATGGATCATACGTATGAGAAAAATCTTTATCAACTAACCTGAAGTTAAACTAAGAGCCAACAAAAGCAAAAGCTTAAAAGAAAATATTCAGACATTCAAATGTCTAGGCATAAATCTAGTGGAGAATGATGAAGCCCTCCCTTTGTGGTTGGGATAACGGCGCATCATTTTATTGAGTAAAAAAGTTAGGTTCTAGAGAGGTACAGTTAATCTCGAGGGTTAAGTAGATGACATTTATTTAATCTGCCACAGAGCACAGTCAATCACACATGAAAAGGCCTTTATCTTTAAAGGGTCTTACTACACTTATTCCAACACACTCTGAAACTGCTTGCAGTGCTCTTAATTTCTCTTTACCTCCTTCCTGTGGGTCTTGACTGGAAACTGTCACAGGCAGAACCCTCATCCTTATTACTGATGTATTATCTCTACCCCAGTTTTCCCTCCTTTTTCTTCCAAGCACAGACAGAACAGAATTTTCCTCAAACACTTTCTCCCTGAGGCAGTTTCGGTTGGTTGCTTCACTTCCTTAACCATGCCAGCTGATTTGCTGTTATAGATCACTGGGTTTAAATTCATGTCTTAAAAAGGGCCTCTGCTTTTGATGATTCTTTCTAAGATAACTAACAATTTAAACTTACTCTTTACAAAGTACGAGCAGGATGGCATGGTGTGTCTGTCTTGCAAAGATCTAAGAAATCCAGTTTATAACCATGGTACATTGCTGTCCAAATACAACAGTAGCCAGGGCTGCTTATGGATACAGCTCTTTTTTGAATGCTAGCAGGATACACAAAAAAGTCAATTTTCAGCTGAACACAGCCATTCTCTGGTTGTTACCCTCAACTGAGTAGCCCTGACAGGGAAAGGGAAGAAAGAGAGGGCTATTCTACTCCTGGCCTTTGTGAAAAGTATTGTTCCCTCTAAATTACCTAAAGTAATAACAGTGAACAATCTTCATTTTAACTCAGCAAAATTTAGAACAAAGTTTCTTTTCCCTACAAAACAGGAAATCTGACCAACAAAACTAATTCTGTTTTACAGATCTTGTTCATTTTCCTAAGAGTGTCTAAAATTAAACTTCTTTCTGGTCTCTGCTTCCTATCACTAAGCTGCTACTGCACCATTCCCAGCTGATTTTCATTAGGTACTGAAGCAATATTTTAATGCAATAAACATGCCATCATCTATGTACAGGATGCAATGGAGGAGATGGTAGGAGGCTACAAGATGTCATGGCATGGGTTAGTAGGATGTAACTTCCCCAACAACAGAAGGGAGGCTTTGGGGAGCAGGCACTTAAACTGGCCTGGAGGGATAGACAGTCTTTTGAGAAAAAGGAAGAACAGGCCCACAGCTAATATGGATGTTGCCAGGCTCTGAAGAGGCACACACCACCTCAAGATAATAGGAGCCAAGTGGGTAACTGAAGTAGGGCTTTCCTTACTGGCTCAGAAGTTTGGACTGTATCCTGGGAGGGTAAGAAGCCAGTGAAGGGCTCTGCTCCAGGCACGCAGAGATCGAGTCCAATTCTGGGGGAGATGCAGAATGAAAAGGAGGATGCAAGGGTTTGGAAAGGACCTCGCCCTGAGGACAGAGTAGCTCCCATGAGGTGAGGCGGAAAGAAGGCAGGGCAGTGGAGGGAAGAGCTGAGAGGACAGAACCAAGAGGGCAAGACAACCTGAGGGCAAGAGGAACTGCGTCAGACTTTCAGTTTTGATAAAAATGAAGCACCTTCTAAAGGGAGGGTTTTGTCCCTCACTGAAATCATGTCACATCACAGATCTACAGAGAATTAGTTAAAAGACAAGTAGTATGGGGCTGGAGAGATGGCTCAGCGGTTAAGAGCACTGACTGCTCTTGCAGAGGACCCGGGTTCAATTCCCAGCACCCACATGGCGGCTCCGAACCATCCTTAACTCCAGCTGCAGGGGAATCAGAAGCCCTCTTCTGACCTCTGTGGCACTGCACAACACGGGTGCACTCACATACATGCAGGCAATACACTCATACACATAAAATAATATTTTTTAAAAAAGAAGTATTTTCATCCTCTTGCAGTTTGAACACCAGAGATGCACAAAGGAAGTTTTCTGAATGACTAAAACAGCAAATTTGGTTAAGGAACAATAAAATCGTTTTTTAAAGATCTCAATTAGAGTAAAGATTTCAATAAACTAATCCGGGATACGTGCTTTTCCTCTTATAACTGGTGGACCACGCTTTCATCCTGGGGCTCAGAGTCTATTTATGGGAATATGAAAGCCAAACTCCAGCTGTGCCCACAGTTTCCCACTGAACTGCTCCGTAACATGATGTTTTCAGTTCTCCCAAAGTCTACCAGAAAGGACAGAAGGGCCCCCCCTACCTCCAAAGTCACAAAGCCAGCCCCCAAGTTACCAGGCCTCAAGGTCAGGAAAAGGAAACCTGCACAAAGTCAACAAGGACCTTAGAGGCACAGTTATGGCATACATTCTTCCCCCCTCACAATGTACCCATGGAAAACTTTGTGAATTGGGTAACTGATTAAGTGCAGGCTTCATCATTTACCCACAAACATCCAATTGCCATGCATCTTTTAAAAACATTAAATGTATCATCAAAAATGAACTGATTCAGTTCAAATAACTGCACCAGACTTGGATTGCACAAGAGGCATGACGGGATGTGGACTGAGGAGGAGTCACTCCCTCCTCCACTATCTCCCAGCTGCATGCCGAGCAGAGGTCCCACCATACTCCCTGGATGTGCTGGAAGTGCTTTGTCTCCCTTCTCCAACTAGATAGGACATTAAACAAAGCTATTTAGGGCCAGCAGGTTTTGTTTAATTCTGAAACAGTTCATTCTCCTTCATCCCACCTGAGAGCGATGACAATTTGCCACTCAGCTGGTTTCAGGGCCTGCTGACTTGAATCAGAGCAAAGTACAATTCTAAGCAGTCTTCAATTGTGTGTGATGGATTTGGGAAGTGTATCCATAACTTGCTCTCTACCATAGCAACTAGTAAACTGAACCGGCAGCTAAAAGGAGGATTCAAAAAAAAAAAAATCACCAGTGCACCTCCTTAACTGACTTTATTTCACAGGGCTCAGACAGGACTTCTGCTAATTTCAACAGGACACAACTTCCCCGGAGACCACAGAGATGCCCAAGAACCAGAGGCATACATGGGCAAATGTGAAGATGAAGTCTCTAGCTTCTCAAATGGAGAAAACAATTTATAAATGCCACAGTCACCAACAGCGAGACACAGAGAGTGCAGTCCCTGCTCCGCTCAGTTCAAAAATGTGGAACCCAGCATAGAGAGCAATAACCATCCTGCAAAGCCTATCCTGGCCTCTGCATGTGTAGGATAAGCCTTGGGATGCTGATTCAAGAGAAAAAAACAAAACAAAACAATGCAGACTAGCTAAAATCTTAGAGCCAGATTTGTGAGTGTCCTCTAACAAGTGTGTGAGCCTTGGCACATGTGTTTCCTTCTGCCAGCATTCTTCCTGCACTCACAACCTCCTTACTCTGTCACCTCAGCTACCGGGGATGGGGAAGCTCATTTACATGCTTGCCATCAACTTAGCCTGTGGCCATGGAGAAGGCAGCTAAAGTAGCTAATCTGGGTTGCAACTCCCAACAGAGCTGCAGAAGGAAGATGGCTGGCTGAAGTCTGTCTTTAACATTGTCTTGGTTCTCACTCTCTCCAGAGCCCCACCATGCTCTGACAGTCTTCAATACTCTACAACAGTCTGTAAAATCTAGCCTGTTGACATTAATTTATATCTTAATCAACTGTCAGATGCAAATCCAGATATCTACCTTCAAAATCTGAAGGCAAGTCCCCACTCCCCCATGGCAGCAACTCAGGGAGCTAAGTAATAGTGCCCCATTTGGTCAGGGCCACATGCCAGCCACCATCTTACCTTACCTCCTTCTGCTCTGTTATTTTTAACCTTCACTCTCCTTTCTGACTGTTCCATTTCTTGATGCTGTCCCCATTAAAACTTACTATGTCCCAGCAGAGCTAGATCTTTGCTGACTAATTCAACTAACTCAATAAACTAGTTAACTCTAAACTACTTGATAAACAGGTCAAAGTTAGCACTTTGGTTTAAGCCCTTGGAAAGGAATAAAAGCCATCAAACTGCTTTTTCTTCATTGTCCGTTTCCCCACACCCAGAGGGAGAAGAGGACCTACCCTGTAAATTTCTTCCAGCAGCAGTCTGGCACAGTTCCTGCCGAGGTCCTCTGGGAGCACTGCTGCTCCCTGACCCTGGGGGTTGGAGGCCAATTCAGCACTCAGGTAGGTGCCATTGGTGGTCTCTGCAACTAGCGACAGCCCAAAGCCTGGAGACCTGGCAATTCAAGGGTAGACAGTGAGCACGTAAAGGCACACAGAGCAGCATACACAGAAGATATTGACATGTTTCCGGTGGCCTAAGGCTTCTGTCTGGCTACAGTAATCTTTATTAATGGAGAAACACATATTGTTGAATGAGACATACAAGGCACAATAGAAGCAAAATGCCAGTGTGCATGGCTTTTCCTGGTAGCCCTCCATGCCCTTAGCTCGCTCCCTCACTGCTCCCTGCAAAGACTCTGTAAGAATGTTCGTAACAATCAATAGTATATGACAATGTTAGCAAGGCTACTAGGTAGGTAGGTATTCAGCATGTACCTCTGCCAGTTACTGAGCTAAGGTTTACAAATAGCATGTTACTACAATCCAGTATAGGAGCTATTGCTCTCATTTTACAAATTAAGATACATTGAAAAGCCGCCTGAACCATGCCCACGCAGCTAGAAAGTGACCAGGTTTCAAAAACAGGACTTACAGACTCCAAAGTCTATGGAAATTCTCCACAGTACCTGTTCGACCCTCCATCATAGCCAATTCAGAAGGTATTGTGACCCTGGAGACCACCCAACTACAAGTCTTCAAGAGTACCAGATATTTCTCTAACAAAAAATGACACAAGCTAGAAAGCCAAATGAGGAATACCTTTGAGCTTCTGTCCCGAGACAACGCTAAACTCAGAATTCACTTCCTACAATCAATAAGCTGGCACTGCGTTCTTCATGTTTCTACCAGCCACAGCCAGAACTTAACAGCCTTCTAGACCAGGACCACAACTGACTCACTCATGGATCCAACAAGCAAGGCCCTGCAGGAGGCTTCCACAGGCTGGGGACTGGGAGTACCCTGGGTGACACATGAGTTCCTGCCCTCACAGAACCCAGTTACAATCAACCAGCAAAGAAAATCAGTTCATAAATAAAAAGAAGCACCTCTCCACAAATCTACAAGATTCAAAGCCTAAAATGTACTTTGCCCAGTGTAAACACATCATTGAGAAAAGCATGGCAGCTTTCCCAACAGCACCATCCACACGAAATTGCAACACAAACCTGCCTCCTTTACACCATTTAATGTCGTTCACAAACTATATATGCTTTATTTCATTTTCATGTTTAGAGACAGGATCTCACTATGTAGCCCAGGCTGGCCTTGAACATATACTCTAGTTGCCCCAGCTCCCAATGAGTGTTGGGAGTGGTGGGATTACAGATCTGCACCACCAAGTGTGGCTAAAGATGTTTTACAGGCACGAAATAGACTCATTAGATGGAAGACTACTAGCGGCCAGTTCTTAACTTTGTCAAAACAATTCAATTTAGTCAAGGGTTGGTAACGTGTGCCAAGGCAAAGGTTCCAGAGCACTCAGAATCATGCTTAACAATCTAACACTCACCATCAGAAGTGCCTAGAAATTTCTAGTGCAACCCCAAGATGCCTCAAGTCACAAGAAGAGATTGGGTTGTCCAGCTTAGCAATAGAGGTAGCAGCTTACAGAAAGAAATGAGGGGCGAGAGGAAGCTTGGCACCCATTGCCACTGTAACCACTTTGCTGTACATCTGAATTTCTTGAGGTGTATATCTGTCATTATATTCAACTTATTTGATCAACCTGTTCACTTTACATTAGATAACTTTAGAGAAAACAAAACACACATGACATTCTTTGTACACTAATCCAATCTGTCCCCTCGTGTGAGACGTGTGCATTTTCAAACCTATTTCATGTCAACAAGCCCATCAGATGACCTCACTGAGGATCTGCATCGGTCATACAAAGAGTGGCCTCCAGAACTTTCCAACCAGTAAAGGACTAGATAGGATTAGATTATTTAAGTAATGACTGTGCAAGTCAAAATGGACATACTGGACCAATGTGCATACTGATCAAAGCCCTAAAACAAGCCACTAGGCCACTGGCTCCCAGGGTTCTAGGCCATGACCAGTACACTTCAACAACTCTAACTCATGTATACATCATTGAACCAGATGAGGAAACTATCTAGTAATGACTTTATAATTACATAACCATTTGTTACCTAAAAACTGAGATTTAGAGAACTAAACACAAATTTTAGTCTCATGTTGGTGTTATATGTAATTTTTTAATAGAGCTTGGAATTGATGATCACACTAATATACATCATGTCCACATCTTGGTCTGTGAGTAACGCTGCTACTGCCATTAGCAAGCAGGTAATGGATCATGTGCCAGGTGAGCAGAGTCAGTGGTATAGAGAAAGCTACACATGGCCTCCAGGCCTGCTTGGCTTCTTTCCTGCCCACTCTTGGGTAAAGCAAGGGATCAGGGAAGGATTATTCTGGGACAGTTAAACCTGCTTCTGCTGCTACCTGCCCTCCCCAAGCCCTATGCAATCTCTTCCAGCAAAAAGCTGACACATTAATTTCAGACATGCAGCTAGGATGGGAGGCAAAAAGGGAAGGCCAACATTAGCGGGTACCATTTCTGTAGCACCTGTGTGCACTGCACTGCATTAACGGCTTACATATACACTCTTTTAATTTAATGTTCACAATCACTGCAGGACACAACATTATCACCCTCGATGTGCAAATGAGGAATGTTCTGATGTGTGAGTAATAAATCAAAGGTCTGGAATCAATGATCTGTTTACCCCCAGAGGGTTGAGCCAGCACACACATTCTTTCCAGCCCTTTGACACTAGTACTTTTAGTGTGCTGATATCTTCACTTCCCATTTGGGGGCTGAGAAGGTCAAACTCTTACAGTGAACTGGGGACCCCTTCCCCTACCTTTACTCTTTCCTTCAAGTTAAAAGAGGTCTCATGTAAAACAGCTGTGAGAAGGATCAGCTGTCTTGCCACTTAGGAAAAAAGTGACTTCTTAATCCAAGAAACAACCCCAGAATCTGTTATTTTTGTTTTAGAAAGATACAATCTGAAAACAGATTCAAAACATAATGATGTGAAAACTGAAAAAAAAGGAAGGGGGGGCTGGAGAGATGGCTCAGTGGTTAAGAGCACTGGCTGTTCTTGCAGAGGACCTGGGTTCGATTCCCGGCACCCACATGGCAGCTAACAACAGTCTGTATAGTTCCAGGGGATCCAACACCCTTTCCTGTTCTCCAAGGGCACTGCAGGACATGGGTGCACTTACATACATGCAGGCCTAACATTCATATACATAAAATAAAAATAATTTTTTTTTAATTAGAAAAGAACCATACAAATATTCCCACTGAAATGGTTAGGCAAAAACAAGGCAAATCCACAGAGGCAGGTACAGGCGGAGGCAGGAAGGTTGCCACAAGTTCAAGACCAGCCAGGACTATATCACAAGACTACAATGTAAAGCAAACATGGTAAAACGCTGTTAACTATACACCAAAGGAAAACAGATCTCTATGGTACCACTCAATTTTTTAGCAGGTTTCATTTTTTTTATAACTAATCAAAGTGGTTTTGTTTTTTATTTTTATGTTTTTGGTCTTTTTGAGACAGGGTCTCCCTGTAGCCCCAGCTGGCCTGAAACTTGCTATGTAGACCAGGCTGGTCTCTGTCTTAGAGAGATCTGCTTGCCTCTGCATCCCAAATCCTGGGATTAAAGGCAGGCCGCCACCATGCCTGGCTAAAAATGGTTTTAATTGTTTCTTCCCCACCATCGCAACAATGGCAATAATTTGGAAGGGGATTAATTCTGAAAGTGTTCTTCCTCTGCAGCTCAGAGCTGGTAGTTTTAACTTCAAACAGGACAGGTATGTGAAAAAGGCTTGGAGAGCTGCAGAGGTTGACTGTAAATGCAGAAAACTTACTTCCCAGAGTTGACGCCTTTCATATGGTCTGTGTAAATATAGATGTCAGGTATGAACTTGTTGAGTATGCTCCTTGCAGAATCCACAATCCGGTTTGCCATCTGAGGTGATACACGTACTGAGTACCTGCAGCCTGGGGTTAAGGAAGTCATTCATGCTGCCTGATGCCAGGATGGAGGAAAGCCAGTTCTGAAGATGGCAAGTATTTGCCAAACTAAGACAACTTCCCCCACTGTATGGAACTGCTTAACTTTATAGTCCATAAATCAATTTTTCATTATCACAATATAAAAGGCTTAAAACAGACATGACAAAAAGAAAAATCTAGATTCCTAGAATGGAATGTATCACTTTGGGACTCCTCAGCCCTACCTTTCCTAACCACGCGATTCTCTATAAATGGTTTCATTCCAGAGGGCAGGAAAATGCTGTTTCTTTATAAGCCGCAATTCAGGCTTCCCATGAAGGACCCTGGAGAACACTTGGCTATTCTCTGAGCAGTCCACCGCTATAACCAAGAAATCTAAGAGCCTAAGGCCAGGATAGATACCACACTAGGGTGGACCTGTGCCAATCCTAGCCCACTTCCCGACATGCTTGCTGACTGGGAAGCAGAAAACATTTAGTGAAAGGTCAAGGTGACTGCTGTTTGTAAAGATCACAGGTTTTCCAAGTATGGAAGGCTATTTTCTATTACTTAAGAATAAATTTCACTTGTGGACGACAGAGGACCCTCCATTTGCTACCATCAGGTGAAAGATATGATCAACCAGCACACTACAACAGGGCACTCCAGAAAAGGAAGAAGAAATTAGCAAAAAAATTCATGGCTGAGGATATGGAAATTATTACCCAAAATTAGACTTTATAACAAAGACTGGCTCTCCCTGACCCAACAAATTAAAAGTAAGGCCTGAGCATTTCTAACGTGAGATAATGAATGGTCAAAAGCTGGCTATATATGCAGGACTAAACAACCAAATAATATGACTTTCCCATTACCTTAACATAAATCCGTATGAGCTTTAACAGTGTGATCTGCCCATTCCAACACAGCTGTTCAACAGTTACTATCAAGAACACATTAATTTTTACTAGAACTGAGAAACAAACTGTTGTGCATGAAACTTGACAAGTCATCTAGCTCCTCTACTAGACTCAACCTAATACTTTGCTACAGAGTAAGCTCCCTCACGCTAACTCTTCCTGGATCCCATTATCAGGACTCTCCAGCCTGCTCAGGACATTCGTCCCTGACCAGGAACCACTGCTGCTCTACTCTTCAGCCTGGACTGCCTTCTATCCGTGTCTTCACTTGAACTTACCATGTCTCCCTTCAGACACATCTTGCTCTTGCTCCATAAGGGCAGAGGCTTCACTTCTGTACCTCTTACAACTTTCTAATGCACTACTTTTGTACTCAGAAATGCTCAATAAATATTTGACTTGACTCAAAGAACAAACCTGAAATGGGGAAAGAGCAAAGAGGAATTTTTCAATACACAGAGTATGGTTACATCACCCTCTTCAGTCCAGAATGTACTTTTGACCACAGACAGTTTAGACAAACAGTCCCAGGTCTCACAGCTTTTAGACTGAGTGGGTGCCATTTTTCTGAGGCCTGAGCCTACCCTCTCTCCCTAGGACAGCTCACTCAGGAGATGCCACCACCCTTAAACAATCCCATAGTGCTCACAGCACCTACAGCTCTTACACATATACTATCACCTAAGTATATGTTCACAGCAACCCTGCGACAAGGGCCCTAAGTCCTAGTTCGAGTTTACCTAAGCCCTTAGGATATGGGACCAAGACACTTGCTCAAAATTATGACTTCCAAAAAACACCTTCCTCTCACCCCTCTAGAGATAAGAAAACCAAGAGGGTAAAAGGAGGATGTGTTCCTGTGTCCCCCATGGTGCAGGACATGGTGAGTAAAAGAAAAAAACAACAGAAAGACTCTCCAGCTAGCTTCCCTACAGTTACAGAAGGAAACTAGATTGTCCACAAACCCCAGCTCACCCACATCTTCTACCTGTACCCCAACTTCTTAACTCTCAGTGAATTATGAGCTCTGGCTCAGCACTATGAAGCTAAGCAAGTGCTCCTCTCCTGTCCTCATCAGGTAGAGGGAAGAGAGAGAACAGTGGCAGTTAGTAAAAAGTAACTCTACTCACAGCTGCTGGCAAGAACCACCAGCAGTCCCCTCCCAGACCCAGCTGCCTGGTCATCAATCTGTAGAATGCAAGAGAGAAAAGCAGTATTTTGGGGAGTAACTAGGTTAAAACCACAGTTCTCCCAACTCGAAAACAAGGACAAGCTCTGTCCAAGCAGCAACCAGTCCTATAAGTAAAAACCCCACAAAACTAACTAAAGCATTTTCCAGAGTCAGCTATTTGTCCTCACGCTCTGAAACTGGCAAAGATGGTGAAAATTCAAGCCCACATTCCTTTGAGGTGTTTGTTAAATGGGCAACTCTGCCGACCAGTGAGTGACTAGATCATTTGGTCTACAGATAGGACTGTGAGCAAAGGCACTGTGTTGACTTTCCTGGGCAGAGCTGTACTGGGGTGGTTCTGTCCCTACATCACTCAGGAGGGAAGGGATATGAGGCCTTTACAAGTGTCTTCCTGCCTCTGACTCCACACAAGGAAGTGTCAAAGAACATTGGCAGGGAAAGTTGAGGAGGACAAGGTTTTATTTCTACAGACCCAACACCTGTCCCGGCTCGGATCCCATCAATGTCAACACCTAGAATTTCACTGTGTGAAACACTAATGGTATTCCCTACAATCAATTCCTCACTCATATCACTTATACTGATCTGCTCTTCACTCTGTTAAGACTTTCAATCTCTCAGCCTCCTGCATTCTCTAGAATGGTAAGCCCCACCCCTTAGGAAGTGAGGAAGCATCTGGCAAGGGCTTCACCCTGACCTCCCAGTTCTCCACAGCTCTCCATCACCCCCTTCTCTGCCCACCCAGTCTGCCAGGTGCTTCCATGCATAGAGCAAACTGGCCCTCTTGCTCATGTACTTCTCCCTCCACGAGAAAGTTTCAACTTCATCTGAGTCCTTTTTGCTGTTCTCCATGCATTTTTATTATCTCCAGTCACTGCCCCACACTGTGACTGCACACTTTACCACCACTGTCACACATCTTTATTGAAGCCCTTCTCAACCTCAATTCCAACTTTTCCCAATCCCCCTCTAGTTCCCTCCACAAAGATCTACCTTGAACCAGCCTGTTACCATGTGTCTGTAGATGTGAGTCCACTCCTATGAATTACAGCAGCCATCATCTCCCAATGGCTTACTCATACTTCAGTTAACCTCATCACAGCCCATGCAGATGTCACAGACCCAGTTCCACACCAGTCAAGCACTGCATCAGTAAACAGCGGACAGTAGCAGAAGCACATTGGTCTGATTCTCGATGTTGGGATCTCACTCACTGTTTTGCTCCTTCATACTCCCACTTTCCTAAATCCACTTTATCTAATTTACAAAACACCCAAATCAGTAGCAACCTTTCTTGTGTGTGTGTGTTGGGGGGGGGGGACAACTTCAGGAGCTGTTCCTTAGGAGGCAGGATCACTCACTGGACCTGGGACTCCATTAGGCTATGCTAGCTAGCCTGTGGGCCCCAGGGATCCTCTGTCTCTGTCTCTCTAGAGCTGGGATTACATGTGTACCACTATACCTAGTGTTTTTTTAAAGTGGATTATGGAGATCCAAACTCAAATTCTCATGTTTACAAGGCAAGGGCTCTACCACCTGAGCCATCGCCAGCCCCAACCTTTCTTTAAAAGGAGTGTATTCTGCACTTGCCTCAGTGAGTCACCACCTCACCTTTCTTCCTCCTCCTCTTTCCTATAGATTCTGAAAAGAGTGGCTCCAGCACATCACCATTTCCTGGTCCTTCACCCCAAAATCAAGAATTGGCTGTTTCTCCTCTACCACATCTAGGAAAAGCTCTTCTGAGGGCCTCAGCTTTCCCCACCAACACGGACTCCTCAGCACCTTAGCAGGGACTGGCCTGGGTCTCCAGCAGGCTTTGTTTTCTTCCTTCTCCTTACTTAGCTTTTACTTTCCAGTTCTGATGGCCTCTCAGGGTTCCTGTCACCTTTTTGCATTCTTGATGGTTGCTGACTTCAAAGCGTTCATTTCTAGCCCTCATCTTGCCCCAGAGTTACAAAATCCTGCATTCCTATGTCCTTTCTAGACTCATTTCACTGGCGCCATTGAACTTAGCAGGTGTTAACACTTGAATTTATCTTCACCTATACCCCACCCTACCCCAAATTTCTATAGTTACTATCAGAGCAAACATCCCCACCCATGAGCCTTAGTGGGAGCCATCAAATCACCCTCAGTGACTCTACTCCTCTAACCAGAGAACAGGAGGTACGCCCCATCCACTCTGCCACTATAGCCCCTCTCACTAGCCCCTGTCCTCCAGCTATCATTCTCCCTGTGTCTGTAGGGCACGGCAATTCTCTCCTACCACTCTTTAAGTGGTTGCTATTGAGCCTTTTTTTCCCCCCTCACATCGATACATCCTAAAATTTCCACAGAAGTTCTTACATTACCAAAGCTATCTCCTAATATGATGGAAATGACTGACTTTGGAATAATGGCTGACTGCTCAGTGCTCTTCACAGACTTTGGCTCACCTTCATACTCCATCAATTCCACTGACCACCTGAATCCTGCCTACCCCCAGAACTTGCTACTAGCTACTTGCTAGCTACTCCCCAGAACTGCACTGTACCTCTCTTCTGTAGGCCCAGTTCTCTTGCCACAGCACTCCCCCTTTCTTGCTTCACTTCACAAGCCTCCTTCCTTTGGGACTCATTCAAATCCTTTCTTTTCTATAGGAAAAAAGCAAAGGTTAAAAGCCTGGGCACCAAACCACTGATAAGGCTTAAATCCTATCTGTGCCATGTTAGCAGTGTGACTTTATTAGCAAACTGAGCTTTTAAAGTCTCGGTTTCACTTTTCTGAAAAACAGGATGTAAATTAACTCGAAACATTATAAAGCCTAACATTAAAGTACATAACATCACCTCCCCAAAGGACATAGAATAAACACCACAATAGACCATACTGTTACTATTCCAGCCTCCCCAAATCCTCCAGACAAAATTGATCACTCCCAGCACCCAGGGCCTCTGCACACACCCCTACATCATTTTATGTTATACAAGAACTATAGTCTGTAGAGTTCATTTCCTTCCAGACATCTTAAATATTAAGTGAAGAAAAATTAATGAATCAATCTATTCATTGTGAGGCAGATAATAAAACATATCTCAACATTATAATTTCACTGTGAAAACTTCCACAAAGACTGGGAGTGGTAGGTAGTGTACTCCTTAATCCCAGCACTAGGGAGGCAGAGGCAGGAGGATCTCTGTGAGTTCCAGACCATCCTGGTCTACATAGTGAGTTCCAGGCCAGCTAGAGTTTCTTAGTAAGACCCTATCTCAAAAGAAACACAAGAGTGTTGTTTGAAACATGAAAAGTGGTACAAAGAAGTAAAACTGTTATCTTCATGGGTCAAGAGAGGTAGTCAGTCAAGGATACGCCATGCCCCTGATCCGCTTGATTTTTCCAGGGTCTGTGAGCTGGACAGGCTTCAGGACCTTCCTTACAGGGCAGGAGAAAAGCACTTCGCCGCCTCCTCCAGGAGGCATTCCCCGTCGCAAAATCTGCACAAAGTGGTGAGTAGGGCAGGGTAAGGCAAAGATACAGAAAAACATGTATTCCTCTAACACCCCAACCCAGGAAGGTTAAATGACTCCCACTAGGTTTTGGAAACACTACAGATTCTCAGGTGCATCTAGGAGGTCCTGAATACAGATTCTATCAGGATGAGTTAGAGCAGAGGCCACAGGGCCAGACTCCATACAGCTGGCTCTATCCTTAGCTAACTGACAGAGCTGAGGTGAAGAATGAAGGAGTCAGTCTGAATGAAATGCTTATGACAGCACCGACCACAGAGTACACTGTGACTGTGGGCCACTACTGCCATTATTCAAGAGTCTCTTTCCGTTCAAAGTCTGAAGCATCAGTTAATGAGCCTGGTAGGTCTTTTGATAAATGATAATGTAAAATATGGCACACACACACACATCTCTCCTAGGGAGTTGATTAAAAAATGTCTTAAATATAAACAGCCAGCAGTTCCCACGTTCTTACCTTTAGCTCAAATGATTCTCCATCAATCCCAAACTGTTTCAACAGAGGGAGTGCTGTTGCCTTAAGAACATCAACCTGTAAGTTATTTCAGAAAAAGAATTTGTCACTAAACCTTGAACATGTAGCAGAATCAAGGAAGCAAGTTGAGACTTAAACTGTTGACTCACACAGAAAATAAACAGGACCCCTGCTCACTCTCATAGGTTCCACACCAGGATGAGAGCATCAGCCCTTCTGATTGATCTTTTTCCAATATATAATAGATGCAACCTTAACATTTAGAGCTAGTGGCTCTTCAGGTCAAAGCAAAGCAAATAAATGACACAATGCTTATCTAAGCATACTGATGTAGGTGGTGATGCTACGTGGCCAGGAGGTAGGTGATGGGAGTGATAGCTTCAAAATACATGAAGCAAAGCCCAGATTGCAATTACAACAGCACTGACAGCTTATGGCAAGGTTTACTACCAGTTACTGTTATCTCTTTCATATTAAGCTCTGAGAAAGTCTTTGTCATTTATTTGTGGATTCCTCATAAAGTATAAAGATAATATTTAAATCATGTATATCTAACAAGTGAATTACAACATGAGAGAAAATTGCTCTCTAAGGGATGTACTTTCCCTTCTGGCCCTGCAGAGGCTGATCCTATGGCGGAATGAGAGCGGGCAGGGTACCAGAAGTCCTATTCCTGGTCTCAAGCTCTGCCTCAGACTACCTGCCTAGCCCCTGACAAGAATATCATGTCTGAATTTCCTTGTTTCTTAAAGGCAGAGCCTCATCGAGCCTGGCTGTCTCCAAGCTGCCAACAACTCTAACAGGCTGATCCAATACAGAGATACTCCAATAGGGCTCTGAAAACTGAAGACAGTTCCGAGTGATGATTTTAATAGCAGAAAATTAGTCAAAAGTATAAGTGATCCATAAAGCCTACGAACATGTTCAGAATGGGCTGGGTGTGGCAGGGACAGGAACTAGCAAAAATTTAATTAGAGATTAGCTAATGTCTATTTCAATTAAATATTAAATCTAAACATATTTTAAAACTTAATAGAGTCATGCATCACTTGACAGTGGGGTTAAGTTCTGAGAAATGTGTTGCTACGTGACTTTGTCCTTCTGGGAAATCCTACATAAATCTAGATGGTACACTCTACCTCCAGTATTATCCTAAAACCCAGTGAGTCTTTTTCCTTCCAGCAGTAGCCTTCCCTAGTTGCTATGGTTTGCCAGTCTTCTCCAAAAAACTCACTTCGAAATCTGTCATTGAAATACTGTTGCGGGAGAAGACTTTTCAGGGGGGATGTAGTAATGAAGATAGGAACCCCGTTAATACAGTAAGGCCATTATCGGGGTTAGTTACTGTGGGAACAGGTTTCTGATACAAGGTTGGGTTCTGCTCGATTTCTCTGTCCTGCCAAGCCATGCTCTCCACCATGCTGAAACGCAGCACCAGATTCTTGAACATCCCAGCCTCCAGAACAGATAAGAAGTAAATCTATATTCTTTTTAATTTTTATTTTTATTTTATGTGTATGAGTGTATTGCCTATATGGACCTTAGTGCACTTGTGTCGTGCAATGCCTACGGAGGTCAGAAGAAGGTGTGTGATCCCCTGGAACTGGAGCTACAGACAGTTGTTAGCTGCCATGTGGGCACCAGGATTCAAACCCTGGTCCTCTGCAAGAGCAGTCAATACCTAGTCTCAGGTGCTTTGTTATATCAAAGCAAAACAGACCAAGACACAGATTCTCAGCACTTGCTTACATCCCTATCATCAAGACCTAGGGGACAATCAGCCTTTGTCTTCCAGTCTCCAGCTATCCACCCTAGGAGGATGAGCGTTCCTTGAGGGCAGAATTCTCATGGAATTCACCCTTTATGCAGAGAGAAGCCTGAAAAGCACCACAGGCTGAAGAAGCTACTCTGTACCTAGGGTTAGAGGACAGCCAGGTTAAACCAGGGTCATTTTTGCCAAGTAGCTGGCAAAAGTAGGGTTCCTTAACACCAGAAAACAGATATCTTGTAAACACTCTGCATACAAGGGTTAAAGTACCATTCCCGGGGAATTCATCAACTGATCTTGTCATTCTTAATATATTTAACTTTTTAAAATTTGTTTAATGCTGACAGTGAAGACATCTTTTATGATTATTAGCAATTATGAAAGAATACAAAACAGGAATAGTAGAGTGATAAATCCCAAGCTGCTGCTTCTCATTATTTGAGGCTCTTTACCTACTTGCAATCTTAAAGTGTAAATGCTTTCTCTCCTATTTTAACTAAATGGTACATTTTCTAGAATCCCTAGAATGTGGGGGTGGGGGGAGAGCAATCGCTTAATTTAAAATTCTAAACAGGTTATACAATATTCTTTTACAGCTAAAAATTCCAAATCTTGAACTGTTCTTAGAAAAGGGTATGCAGCTAAGTTTCTAAGAACTGAGGAATAAGTCCTTGACTGCCTAAGAGTAAATTAGTCATGTTCAGATCTTAGTGGGAGCCTTTGTAAGCAACAGGGTGGCCACTAACTGCACCTTCCCAGGTAGGAAAACTGCAACACTTTCAAGTTGGTCTCAGAAGCCATCCATTTACAGGCTGTGGCCAGCATCTGTTGTGGGAAGACAAGGGTGCCTCTTCAGTTAGGGCTTCACGGTCATCAGCTATAAGAGGAATCCCAAGGTGTAGGCTCCCTCCTTCCCCACAGGAAGCATTAACAGTGGTATTAAAACAGCTCCAGCAAACAAAGTGAAATTTCTGTTAGATAGTAAACCATTCTCCTGTATCCACAGGAAAATTCACATGCTTAATGAAAAGCTTGCTGGTTCCCATAAATGACCAAAGCTCACACATTTCTCTTCTACCCTCGTGGCTATTTACTTTCCTAAAGCTCTTCTTAGATGAAAAGTTCTTGAGTTTCTGGCTGAAGCCTGGACAGGTCAGGCTTATGCTGGGACCATGGCCAGAGATATTATTTCCTGCCTAAACTCTGATCTGATGGCCTCAAGCCTCAGCTCTCACATGACTTTACAGAAACTCCACTCAAACTGCTGCCGACATATTTCATGTCAAGCATAATGAGACAGCAGGCATCTGTTCTGAAGGTTCCTAGACACAACAAAGAAAGGCACCTTGATGGATGTTAGCAATCATCCCCAACTTGATGATTACGAGTCTTGATTCATCTGTCTCTTGGAGCGAATTAACCTCTAAGTCTTAAGGTAAACAGGAAAAGCAGTCTAACCCAAACCCGTGCCTATTAGAAACTTTTTTTAATCTCAGAAATTGAGCTGTGGCAACAGACCCCAAAAAATAAAAATTAAAATAATTAAAAATTATAAAAAAATCCACACCATGGTTTGGCCTCAATACTCACCGACGGGTCAACTTGGTCATTGGTCACTCCTCGCAGAACTATTTTTAATGGTTGCTTCATAAACGGAGCCAGGCAAAGAAGAGCCTCCAGGTAATACCCAATGCCACGAAGGACACTACAGTCGTGTTCCACAGACCCACCATACAGCAGGCCAGGCTGATAATATAAGGTCGTTCCTTAAACCAGGAAAAAATAAAATAAAACAACGGACCGTGTAGCAGAAACAAAACCAAGCATCAAGGCAATGATGGCATTGAGTCCTAAGGGGCAAATCTGACGAAGGCATCCAGGGGAGTTCAGAATGCCACTCCTGAGACTCCACACTTCACTCCAAAAGCTCACTCACTACCGCCAAGCCTCTGGAACAATAAATTGTGAGTATAATTTAATAAACAGCAATATCTAAATCCCTCCCTAAGCTATGTACACTGACAGTCACAGTGGGGCACAGAAGAGAGCGCCTAATAGGCATCAAGCTTCCCAATGGCACACTTAAGACTTGAGGACCACAGTGTTCTACCATCACACCAGCAGCATCCTGTAGGCTCCTTCAAATGAGATCTCTCACATACTTCACTTACCACAGAAGACATTCACATACCCCAAGTACTTGTGGCATCCACTACCATTGGTGGTAGTAATTTTAGTTTGATGGTAATGAGGGGAATAAATCAAATTGTTATATATATTATTTCAGTGGATACTTGTTATTTTCCTTGTTCACTTTTTCATGCATTCATACCATCCAAAAATATAGTTACTTCTTACTGCATTTACGTATGGTAGGAGAAACAGTAAAACACCCTAGACGGTCTGGAGGTAAACAGATAAACAAGTATTTCCGCTGCTCAGACTTTTGTAATGTCTTTAGCACCATTTACCCAAAATAAACAACATTAGAGGAAGGAAATATGTTCAGACAATCAAATGAAAAACAGCTTTGAGTATTTCGTAAAGTAAGTAGGTTTAACTATATTAAACAGCAAAATCCAAACAATTTCAGCCACAATCATATTCTGATCAAAGTGACTAACACTTCCCAAAAGGAAAAATCTGGATCACGAGTCTAAACAGTACTGAGTTGGGCCTGCAAGAAGGCTCAGGGGAAAACCCACTTTGCTGCCAAACCTGAAGATCTTAGTATGATTCCCCAGGACCCACATAGTGGAGAGAACCAACTCCTGCAAGTTGTTCTCTGACCTCCACCTGTGCTCCAGGGTATGCACACATCCCCCCAATCAAATTTAATAAAAAAATTTTAATTAAGTAGTATTGAGTCACAAAATATCCTTTAGGTCAAAAAGCTAAAAGGACTATATATATAAAATGACAAAACTCTTCAATTCTGTTTACGCCTACAATTAAACAAATAAGAAACTAGATTATCATCTAGGGGAAAAAAGAAGAAAAAGGAAGGCAGAGCCTACATGAGATATGTGATGGTCAAACTTCACTGTCAACTCACTATACTTACCATCACCTAGAACAGGAAAACACCTCTGGGTGTGTCCGTGAAGGTCTGTTCCAGAAAGGATTAACTGCAAGGGGAAGCCTCACCTTGAACTGGGCAGCATCCCATGGCTGAGGACTTAGGCAGACAAAAGGAGCTAGGTGACAAGGCACCGCCTTCTTTCTCTGCCTCAGGCCTGCCATGCCTCACCTGCTGTGCTCTGCCACACCCTCCCCACCAAGACAGACTGATACCGCTAAAGCCATAAGCCAAAATAGATCCTTCCTCTCTTAGGTTATCAGGAATTTCATCATAGCCACACACTAGCATGGGGCACAAGGCTAGCATAATGTCTTTGTGTTCAACCTATGTTACGGATATGACCAGAGAATAAAATTATCTGCCTTTGTTTTTGTTGCTTGTTTTGATATGGTTTTTATGTTTGGGTTTTGAGAGAAGCTCTCACTATGCAGCCCTGCCTGGCCCTCAAAGATTTACCCATCTCTGCTTCCAGAGTGCTGGGATTAGGGGCATGCATAACTATGCCCAGCTAGCTGCCTTCTGAATCACAGGGAAAAAAAAAAGGTTGCTGAAAACAAAAAAGATCTAGCAATTTCCAAGTTAGTAAGCCAAGGACAATAAAGGGGATCACAGCTGATAGCAGACATCTGGGCATCATTCCTGAGGCTGTTCTCCATCAGGTATGGCTGAAAGCAGACACAGACCAGCACATCTACATGGCTCGGGGCCATGTGTGAGTCCAAGCTCGTCAACATATGAAAAAGGCTAAAGAATCTTATGGGATATAGCTGTAGTTCATGGTGTCGGGCAAAGGATGTTGTCTGGCTTCCTATTCAATGTAGATAATGGTTCTAGTAACAGAAAAAGAAAAGCTACCAAGAACCTAAATGTTTATCAGTAGTGAGTAGTTAAATTCCTACCCATCTATACAATAAAGTACTAAACTGAAGCCCAAAGAAACATGGGAAGAGCCGCATGTGGTAGCAGGACCATGCTAAGAGTGCTGTGTTGGTGGTGAAAAGCTGCTACTGCAGAATGCAGGAAGGCACAACCTACTGAGCACTGGTCACACGCATGCAGTGCACACAAGCATTGTCTGTGATAGCAACTACCCCTGGGGAAGATTCTAGGAGCTAAAGGGAGTTTCACATTTTTGCATATATTTGTATAAACTTAAGAGTCAAAATTTGAAATGAACGATTCCAGCCCATACAACTGAGTTTGTTATGAGAATTCAATATGAATATGTAAGAAAATGGACTTTAGAAAGCTTATGCATATATTAAGTCTAAAGTATTTTTACTCTTAAAAAGGGGAGGGGTGCTTGATTATCTGAAATTTTCACCTGTCTACTTTCTTTAGTCAAGAATATGTTTCTTATTTCTTTATTTTTGGTGTTTTTGAGACAGGGTCTCCCTGTAGCCCCAGCTGGCCTGGAACTCACTATGTAGACCAAGCTGGCCTTGAACTCACAGAAATCCACTTGCCTCTGCTTCCCAAGTGCTGGGATTAAAGGTGTGAACCACCACCTTTACTGAGGATTGAACCTAGGGCCTTATGCATGCTAGGCAAGCACTCCACAATCATATCACAGACTGGAAACTGGGTCTTTCTATTAGAACCCAATATTTAATGATCCAGAACGATGAATTCTATTACAAGTTCACTCATCACTTCCCTGTGTTAACTTCTAAAGGTACTCTCCAAATACTGTCGTCTGATGAGGGCTTATGTAACAGAGTGATTAGCAAAGTTTTCAACATGATACAGCGTTTATACCATTGGAAAGAATATGAAGCAGAGGAATGCCCAATTAGCACATGCAGGAGTTTTAGGAGTTAAGGAGAAAAGAGCTTACCTGTTTGGTTTATTTCAATTCGAGAACCATTCGTTATTTTGTCCAGTAGCCTTATGAAGCTAGCTTCAAAATCTATATGGGAGGGGGAAAAAGAAAGAAAATTCTCTGTTAAGCACCATTTCTAGAATGAACATCTGGTTTATGAACTGCAGAAGAAGATAGTTTTCTTCTGGCATCACATCTGGGTTTCCCTCCAGAACTGGCTAATAGATCATGGACTGATGGACCTGAAGCCATAGAGAAGCACTGACTAGAAAGTGATTAGCAGAACTGTTTATGAACAATTCAGCTTCCACATCCCATATATATAATATATATAACATATATACATCATGTCATATATATGATATATATGGCAGTCCACTATCAAGCTAACAGAATGTTAATAAAACCTATAAAAGAGCCAGGCGTGGTGGCGCACACCTTTAATCCCAGCACTCAGGAGGCAGAGGCAGGTGGATCTTTGTGTGTTCAAGGCCAGCCTGGTCCACATAATGAATTCCAGGCCAGTTGGGGCAAAGTGAGACTGTGTCTCAAAAAGACAAAAAAAAAAAAAAACCTAGCAAAGATCTCAAGAGAGCACGCCAAATAAGGTAGAAACTTCAGAAAGTATAAAAGTGTTTTAAAATCAGTTTTTCTTTCTTGCCCCAGAATGCCTGAAAGGAGAGAGTGAACAGGGCCCCCCACCTCCGGTTTCCCAGATAAAAAGCTCCCTTTTCCCTTCTTTCTGAAATATGACTATCTGACTAGTTCAGTTTTGTTTGAGTTTTTTGTTTGTTTGTTTGTTTTCATTTCATTAATAGGTACATGAGGGGCTGGGGAGATGCTCGGTGCTTGCTACCGCAAGCTTGAGGAAGAGTTCAGATCCTCAGCACTCATGTGAATGTTGGACAGAAAGCAGCTATAATGCCCCAGCATGTGAGGCAGAGGCAGGATCCCCAGAGCAAACTAGCCAGCTAAATCAGTCAAAGCAGCAAGCTATGGGTTCAAATAAGGGACTCTGCCTCTCTATGTAAGGAAGACTCCTGACATCAACCTCTGGCCTCTACACCCACATACATGCAAACACAAAGTACATACAAATAAATTATTTTTAAATTATTTTAAATATATAGTGTTACTGCCATATATTTTTAAATGAATGAAAAAAAGTAAATGTTAACAAATGAACTTCTATTGATAGGAGTGGACAGAATTTACTTATTTATTTATTTATCTATTTTTTTATTTTATTTTCCCCACGATAGCCCCAGCTGGCCTGGAACTTGCTATGTAGGCCAGGCTGGCCTCAAAAGAATGAACTTTTATAAAAAAATGTTTATTTTATGTTCAAATTTGCTTCAATTCCTTTCACAAACAGACTGTTATCTAAAATTTAATAGCTGGTCAAAAACCAGTTATGGCAGGCTCATACCTGTAAACCCAGGTCTTGGGAGGCTGAGGCAGGAGGACTGTTGTTAGTTTAGGCCAGCCTGGGCTGCACAATGAGTTCCAGACCAGCCAGGACTATAGTGTGAGACCAAACAAAGAACTGGCAACTCTTTAAAAGAGAAAGAGAGGAATGAAGGGAAGGAAAATGGAAGACAGAATTAATTTTAAATGTGAAAGGAGTGTACGTCCTCTAGCACCCCTCCCCTTCTCGTCTCTCTTTAACTTTAACGTTCTGCCCACGCACTAGGGACAGGAAGACCAGCTCTCCTGCAGACAACAATGACATAACTACCTAACACATAGGCAGTTCCCGCCCCTGTGATAAACCAGCACAGACCCCAGCAGTCACCTAAACTGATCCCTAAGGGTGAGCAAAGTATCTTAGCAACTCTCATCTACCTGATCTGTCACTTAAAGCCACCTCCTGTCATGGCAAATTTTGCAATCCAGACAAAGAGCATTGGGCTAAAAGTCAGAAAAACTCCATTAAATCCTAACACTGATCAAAACTGTGCCTACAGCTTACTGTTAACATTACTGGGCACCTACTTTATGCCGTACATTGTCATTTAATCTTCATAATCCCAAAGTGATGAGTGCCATCCCCACTTCATAGCAAAACCGGATGAAATTCTAGATTGCCAACTAGTCTAACCTGTTCAATAATAGCAAATGGCAGAGCCAAGACTTGAGCCCGTCTCCATCTCCAAAGTCCATGCCCTTAACCAAGCCATCACACTGGGTTGCCTCTCTGCATAACTCCTCAGACCCAAGCTCTTCCCATAGAAAGTCATGGCAACCTGTTTTTTTTTTTTTAATTTTTAAAAATGATTTATTTAATAACAACATACTTAGAAGAAGCATATCATTACAAAACAATTGACATATTCAATAACGGTTTCCTGAGGTAGGATGCATCTCTTTCAAAATTGGCTGTAAATTTTTAGGTTTACAGTTGAATTATTACAGTTATACAATATTGTACTCAGTATAAACCCTATAAG